TTACTACTTTGAAGCCTCTCACTCGGCTCGTTTTATTAACTTAGTGCTCGGTTCAGTTCAATATAGAAGTCTGTGCATTTTTCATATACTTGATTAACGAGTACGTAATACATATCGACACCGTCACGTCGATAACTTTCCGTCTCTAGTATATTCATGAGAATTTGATTTATTTTTATAGGCCTATTCTGTGTACAGACATATAATAACATGAATGTGTGTTTTATCTGTGTATTTGTAAAAATAATCTAGTGTTGTAGACTTTCGTTTGTGTGAGATCATAGTGACATAATTCAATTTTGCATTTGAGTGCACCTGTTTGCTTGTAGTACTACGAGGACCCCTCATAAAGAGGCAGAAAGTTTTGTTCGAGAAATAACGCTAATAGATAGGCTTGTATAGTTCATTAACTACGAACTATTAGGAATATATTCCCGACGCTGACCGACATGAACTAGTTCGGCTTGGACGGTTTTAATAGTTCATCGTTCTTTTTAGTTCAGTACAAACTAGGAACTGTCTGCGTTGATAGTTCACCTGTCTTTTATTCAGTAGGAACGGTGCGAGCGACACAAATAGCGACCTTTCACTACTTTTAGCATAAGTTCGAATGGGATATACGATTGAAAGTTGCCAGCTCGTTCTAAGTCAAATATGCGTATCTACATTATGTATATATACAAGCTTGCAAAAAAGTAATATTTTTCGGTAGGTGTGGTAGGTATCTGTATGTATAATATCAACCTACGTGTACGAGTGTATGAAATAGTTGTACCTAAATTTAAGCATATTTTGTTAGAATGACAGTCTTTAAACCTGTAAAATATGAAGGAAAATCAAACAGTACCGATTCCATACAAATTGTATTTTTGAATATTTAGTACAGTGTAGTAATGACCACATAATACTAGAAGTCCGTAGTAGTTCATGTGAATAAAATTACTAGTATGGAGCGTTCGTTCAATGTCCGAGCAAGGACAAGGCAAACTAACTAACAAAGGAACTAGATGAACTAAATGAACTAGAAGACCGACCTAGTTCAGTTGACCGATTGAATTAACTAGGATCGCTCCCTCTAAAGACCGATCAGGCACTAGTCTACCAATAGCGCCTCCGTTCCCACTATATCTTTCCAATCTGTGCGTCTCCCGTCCTATATACTCTAAGCATCGAGTATATAATCAGAAAACGAGACGAAATGTCATTTAAATTATTTGAAAACTTCTGCCTTATCATTACTGTGACAACTGCGCTCCGATTGGCCAGCCCAAGTTCCAAACAATTGACGGGTGTCGTCAACTGTTTCACTTCAAATCGACCATTTAACTTGAGCTTTGCCATAATGGACGAAAATTGCAAAATTATATATTTAATATTTAATTACCGATGACCTTTGATTTTGTTTGTTTTGTAATTTTTTGCAGTTTTTCCCCACGTCATCGAATGGAACAGCACGGCATTGTTAGAGATATTATCTTTATTACAATAAATACAGAATATTTTTTGGAATATACAGAGACGTACACACAGGTCAGTAGTTGGCCTGTCTATATTTCAGTGCAAACGAGAGTTGATATTTATGAGAGCTGTATCGTTAATGTGTTACCAGGTTCGGTTATCAACTGAACTCGGTTACCAACTGAACTCAGTTATCAACTGAAGCTGTCAAAGTTACAAAATAGGCCTGCAGGAATATATGGCCCTTATTTCGTCTCTATTTCTGGTTATATACTCGATGGCTCTAAAGATAATATGTGTGTAGATAAAATGTATTTTGTAATGTGAACGCACTCCCGCACCGCAACCCCTCCCACCTCACTCCACTCTCAACCTTCGCAGCTGTCAATGAAAATACTGCATTTCAGTCAGTTCAGTGTTTGAGTACCTAGGTGTTTTCAGTCGGTCGGTTGACTCGGTTGGTGCATAAATGACGATGTCTCCGTTTCGTGCAGTGAAATTAGGTGAAAGAAATTAGGTGTGAGGAAAGTCAAGTATATAAAGCTTTACATAAATAATTGTTGAACTAAAATGATATGACACTGCAGTGAGTCAATATATATTTTCTATATACCTGCCTAGCTATATTTATCAGCTCTATCCTGTTTAAGTCCTTATGTTTTCTTCCACATCTACTATCTTATTATCCTTTAGTAGATATTTTATTTGAATACAACATTATCTAATGTAAATGAAATTTGAGTAGGTAACAAGGCGGGTTTATCAAAACTATCGATAATTGAACTGTTTTAAGTTACGTTGTAACCTCACGTAACTTAAAAAGTAGAGAAATTTCACTTGAAAAGCCTTATTTTTTCAATGATGTCAGATTGTGTTGCAGCTATCAATATTGTTATTTGTTTGCTATCCTATAGGCATACCTTGTTCTAATATCGTACAGCACATACAAAACTAGAATAGTAATCAATCACTTATTTATGGTAATTGTAAAAATATCTGAAATGCATCACTTGCTGTTGACTGCCACTGCACTGCTATGCTGGTGGTTATTGTAATAACAATTTTAAAAGTTTTTTAAGCTGAGTTGGATTTTAATTTGAAATATTAAAAGAGTTTCATTTAATAGTGGTATAAGGATTAATTTTATAAGGTCATAAGTGCCTACTATTTTATTTGTTTGTTTTTGTAATATCAAACAACAGAATGAACAAGTCTTGTACTTCCTTTTGTGTTATGGTTTTCCAAAGAAGTAGAAAATTTTTTAATTTTAATGTTTACTGAAATATGACCGCAACATGTGCTCAAGCAGTAATAATATAGTATGTATTATAATAATATTAAAATAATAATAATAATTAAAGTAATATTATTACATTAATAATATAAGTAATAAGTTATAATACAGTATTGCAATATTGCATAGTCTGCTGCTATGGTAGAGTTCAGTCAGCTTTGTCAATGTCTTCAACCACACAAAAACCATGTAGCATTTACCTCATTTCAATAAACATCTCAGATTAAAAAATGGACAATCATGTAACATGACTGCTAGGTCAGAGAAAAAGCTTATACAATTTAAAAAGCAATTAAACAACTTATTAGACAAATTAAATCTTCTGCCTCTTTTTGCTTATTGAGACTAATAAAATTTATTTCTTCTTTTTGGCTATTGGTGTGCCCTCTTTGAATTTCGCTAGTATAAAAGTATCCAAATTTTATATGACAAATCCCTTGTTTTTCTTTTTGCTTATTGGTGGTGCCCTTTTAGGATTTCGCCAGTATCGAGGTTTCTGCTTAGTAATTATAAACATATTGTAAAAATAATATAAATAAAATGGCAATCATTGCTAATGTCCAGTTGTCAGTATCATGACAAATCTCTATTATTATTATTATTATTAGGGTGGCTTCATTCAGGGCCCATGCATCCACTCATCACTGCAACCATTGACTGATCTATTCTGATCACCACAAATTCCAGTGCAGAGCCAAGGCCGACAGCATTGAAGAACTGAATGACTTCCCTGGCTCTGACAGATTTAATGTCGTCTGGTTGTGGCATGCACCTTCCCAGTATGGAACTTCTTATGTCCTTCAAGGGTGAGTAGATGAACAGGAGTTTCATCCGCTTAGTGGCAGAATCTGCACTCCCTATTCTCTCTGTGCCCAATATTCCACATGTACTTGTTCAAGGCATAAGGCCCTGTTAAGGCTCTAGTCAGCATTCTGATGCCGTTCCTGTCAAGTGACAGAGCTTCTCTACAGTGTTGGGCACATTTACAAATCCCTAACTGTATTGTCAAATTTTTTACATTTGTGCACTTATTTTGACATTATAAAATTATTGTTGTTATTATTATTTTGATATCTAGTTACATTTAATTATTATTATACTAAAATTAACCCAACTATTAACACAGTGTTTAAATTACTGACTGACTTAGTAAATCCAATAATGTACTGTACACCTGTGTGATATTATTAAAAAACTTGTCACACTAGATTTCTCTGTTGAAGGGCATGTGAATAAATATGTTTATTACACCTTCGATATGATTGTATGCCTAAAATTTAGCAAGACACAATAAAAGTTACATGTTAACTTCTGTACAACCTGTTTGTTATAAATAAATAAATTATAAATTATAGCTATATAGCCCTCTAAGCTGTGCATGTTGGTTATCTATGGCACTTGATATAAAAAACTTCTATATTACGAAAATTAAAAAAGTTGTGAACTACCTACTTTGAAAGAAACATTTAACTTTGGTAATAAGATCCTTCTTTGTCTTACTATTTATTTTCAAAAGAAACTTTATAAGGTGTACAAGCAACCAATACCAAATAAAAAATATCTACTTACACTAATTTATAAGCGTTTTTCCTATTATTATTATTAACAAATGGAATGGATGTCTACAATAAAAGTATTTATTTTTTAAATACTCTAACATATTAAAAATATGTTATGTTTATGTGTATTGAGGATCAGTGTGATAAATGTTTAAATCACAATAACCAGTAGCACACTGAAGAAATGACTTCTTCAACATCTTATTTTTGGTGCAATTACGATTTATTTTAAACCTTTTTAGCAATAGGGGAAAGTTTCTTTTGAAACTTTCTAATTCAACACAAGTAGTCTGATTTGATAAGTTGAAGGTAGTAATGGGCCTTCTTGGGTCTGTGATGGCAGTATGAGTGGTTCAAATTGTACTGGGCCACTCATTTGATCAGCTGTGTCAAAAATTTATTTGTAAAAACAAAATCCAAACAAATTTGTTTTGTACAACAAAGTGCCATAGTTACCTAAACCATGATTTTGAATTCTGTGGTAGGGTAAATCTAATTACTGTAATACTGAAAAATCCTTATGCTGTGAATGTCCACAGCGTTTGCTGGCGTAGTTGCGTGGGCGTAGCAGCTGTGACGTAGCAGGCGGCGACGTAGCAGCAGCGGGACGTAGCGGCGCTTAGCGATATTATGGCGGACAGGGCTTCAGAGGCGCGACGCGGGACTGCGGGCGCGCGGTGACGGGCGGCATGGGCGACGCGGCGGAACCGGGCCAGTGCGACGCCGTGCTGTTGGCGCCGCTCACTGAAGATACCTTCCTGCACAACTTGCACGTGCGCTACAAGCAGGATGTCATCTATGTCAGTATTTCGTTAATTAACATCTCTTGTTAGTCATTGTTCTGCATTTCAGTGTTCCGTTTGGACACGCCCATTCTAGGGTTCTGTAGCAAGTTACGGTATTCAACTTAACCACATTCTATTTTAATATATAGGTCCTCTAAATATGTTTACTGACAGCCGACTTTTGTCCCTACTAGAAAATTGAGATTTTTCACACGTACCGCCAAAGAATTTGGTAACCCAATCATGTCGTGTAATTTGAAAAAGAAATTTCGATTTTGGGGATTTAGGTGTTTTTATTAATATAATCGAGTTGGGTATGGAATCAAAGTTTTTTATTAATGTTTTTGTACTCATGCTTTTTCATCAATTTCATGTTATTTTTTTAAGAAAGATATTTTGCAGTTGGTCGCTGATGATTTTGGCCGCGCCACCGCACAAATGGGGGTTATGGAGGTTCTTAACCCATGAACATTTCCGCCAGAAGGGTAGGAAAGAATGCGCGGGTACACGCTGAACTATGTTGCGGTCTGGTCGGCCTGTAATGTGGCGAGAGTGACATGGTCGTCAGGGTCGTTGAGGGTTTTCCTGGGTTGACTGGGTTCACCGCGCTCGTAGGAGTCGTGAAGTCGGTGAAGGTGTCCCTCAAGGCGAACGTAATTGGCAGCAGCCACCATGAGGGGTCGGGGTGGCGAGGAGCAGTCGAATATTATGTTTCCGGCGGCTATGACGCACTTTCCCCGCTTTCCGCACGGTCCCGCACCTCATCTTCAAAAACACAGTTTTAAAAACTTCGACTTGTTTCTCAAATATTTCCATATAAAATGTGCTCATAGATTATACGGAACCTATTTCGGGCGCACGTTTCATACGTTGTCTGGTTTAAAAAAAAAAACTTAGAATAATTATTGATATAAAGATCGAACACTCAGAAAAAACACTCAGAAAAAATTCCTTCGATCCGGTCGGATTCGAACCGACGTCTTCTTGCATACCGTGCCAGACGCTATACCAACTAAGCCACGGAACGAACCAACGGACCTCACGAAAATTTCTATGTGCTTGCGTCGTGTCTTTGTACTTGGTCTTTCAACGACTTTATTACTTACTTAATAATTGACTATCAATTAAATAAAAATTTAATTAATACAGTGAATAGCGACATCTCTCGCCAGGACTGGTAGCTGTAAAGGTACTAACTGGGTGATAAATCTGCAATAGATTTCTCATAGATGGCGCTACGACTAAAAAGTCGTTGAAAGACCAAGTACAAAGACACGACGCAAGCACATAGAAAGATTCGTGAGGTCCGTTGGTTCGTTCCGTGGCTTAGTTGGTATGGCGTCTGGCACGGTATGCAAGAAGACGTCGGTTCGAATCCGACCGGATCGAAGGAACTTTTTCTGAGTGCTTTTTCTGAGTGTTCGATTTTTGTATTAATAATTATAACGAACTAGTGGAGTAATTTCACAAAAAATAATTGAATATCAATTCAATAAAAATTTAATTAATAAGGTGTAGAATGTTTTATACCCTTTTGTGCAAGATGCCACAGTAGTCCGGGTAAACGTTTCGGGGCGCATACGTTAGTGGCGATGTGTTGCAGACGTGGGTGGGCAACGCACTCGTGTCGGTGAACCCGTGCCGCGCGCTGCCGCTCTACTCGGCGGAGCTGGTGCGCGCCTACCTCGCCCGGCCGCCGTACACGCTGCCGCCGCACGTGTGAGTTGCACTCGCGACGCGTCCCGCTCCGCGCTCCGGCCGCGCTCGCCTGACGTTCCTGCCGCGTTGCAGGTACGCGGTGGCGGCCGCGGCGTACCGCTGGGTGCGCGACAGGAGCGAGAGCCAGTGCATCGTCATCACGGGTGAGTGGGGCCGCGGGCGGGGCGGCGCGCCGGCCCGCGGGCGCTCTGACCAGTCGCGGCGGTCGCAGGCGAGAGCGGCGCGGGCAAGACGGAGGCGGCGCGCGTGTGCCTGCAGTGCTGCGTGCTGGCGGGCGGCGCGGGCGGCGCGGGCGGCGCGCTCACGGCCGCCGGCACGCTGCTCGAGGCCTTCGGCAACGCCGCCACCGCGCTCAACCACAACGCCAGCCGATTCGTGAGCTTGCGCCTACCGTAGCTTCGCCGCGGCGACCCGCGCCGTGCACCGCGGCCGGTGCTGCGGTGAGCGACAGTAACGGGTGTGCCGCGTTGCAGGGCAAGCTGCTCGACGTGGAGCTGGACTTCAAGGGCGAGCCCGTCGGCGGCCACATCACGCACTGTGAGTATTCGCGCGCCCGAGCGACGGCCGGAAACGATCCGCGGGGGCTCTTTCCGATGGTGCACTCCTTCAGTGTTCCGCAAACGGCTTGTTGTTAAGTCTTTTTAGTGTGGTAACACTGAGTGGTAGAAACTAAAATACTGTGTACTCGAACTGTATTACGCGAATTTGCTGGTGCGTAAGGGCGCGTTCTCACTATGTCGTCACGTTTCATTATCGTTGGACGACTGTCGTGTCTAGCCTGTTCCCATTTCACGACTATCAGTCGTGGACGATTTTTTATCATTGAACGACTGTCGTGATTAGCAGTTCCCACTAGATCGTGACGATAATTTATCGTTTCACGACAGCCTCTTTGTCGTTTGCATGACAGAATCGTTTGATGTACTGCAATCGCTTGTATGTTCTTTTGGAAAAAGTGTGTGTTCGCTCGAAATGGATGAAAACGAAATTTTAATAATGTATCACTTTTTAAAAATGGGGGAGAGAAAATGAATTCCATTAGGGTTATGTCAAACGTTTATTGATGAACTGAAAAGTGATGATAGAAAATTTTGGGACTATTCAAGAATGACAATTTCCACATTTAATAGTCTATTAACACGACTTACAGAGTACATTACAAAAGAAAACATAATGTATAATTAAATTTGAACAAAACTCAATTCACAACAAATATTTAGACGTAACTAGTTTTTGCCCTAGATTTCGGGTTTTAACCTGATTCGTTTTTAACTTGATTGGTTTTAACCTGAACCCGGGTGCTTGCTCTTCTCTGGCCACGACCCAATGCTACTGCAAAGCGAGCAAAGGGCGCTGAGTACGAGAGGGGAGGGCAGGGAGCAGAATACGTACGGACAGCAATAATTAAAACGTGACGACAATGGGAGCTGCGACAATCTGTCGTCAGGTTTTTCAAAAAGTTTATTTTGTGTTGTTAGTACTAAATATGCGAAATATTACAGTAACTTATAAATTAAACCCCTGGAACCCATGTGGACTGAGTTCCAGTGCTTCCACAATTCACTGACAGGGTTCTCCCAGATCAAACGAACTAGGCTATTGGAACTGCCACGCACGCGACGCATCAGGGAGGCAGTTCTCTTCCGAATAATCGCGCTGAAGCTATCAATACGCGCGTCCGCGAACATACCTGATGCGCTGCAAAATCGTGGCAGCCCCAATAGCATCCTAAAACCATTATTGTATTGGACACGCAGGGCATTGACCGTCACTTTAGTGTAATTTGTCCACAGTCTGCACGTATAGAAGGTCTGACAAAACGCCCTGAAAAGGGTGGCTTTGACATTACCCTCACAAAGCGCAAACCTGCGTGACAACATATTACAACGTACGGCCAACGCTCTGCGCTCCCTCTCCATATCTACATCATCCTGCAGATTTTCTGTGACCCAGTGCCCTAGGTATATAAACCTTGCTACTCTCTTGAGAGGCGCACCACACAAATAAATAGGAGGGATTGAAGCGAGGGCTTTGTTACCGGCTTTAAACACTAAAAGCTCGCTTTTATTTGTGTTATATGTTAGATCGTGAGTCATCGCATACTCCTCACAAATACTTAATAGTTTTACTAGCGCACTGATCGACGGGCACAGCAGCACCATATCATCTGCATAACTAATATTATTGACAGTGATACCACCGATCGAGCATCCAATTCCCGTGCTGGTGAGCCTGGCGATCAGCTCATCTATATACCAGTTAAACAACCTAGGTGAGCTGAGACCTCCTTGTCTCACTCCACACTCCAACCTATACACATCCGAGAGAGCACCTGCCCACCTCACCTGGTTGGTTTGATTAGCGTACCAGGAGCGGAGCAGGTCGATTACCTCACTTGGGGTATTTGTGCGTTTTTCCAATTTGTCCCAAAGGATACTATATGAGACTGTATCTAAAGCCCTGGATAGGTCCAAAAAACAGGCAAACACTGGCGTTTGCCCCCTGGTGTAGTACTGGACGGTATGTTTAAAGCATAAAATGGCACTTTCCGTAGACAGATCGGGTTTAAAACCAAATTGGGCGTCCTGGGTCTTTACATACTTTGATAGCACACCGTCCAGCAGTCCATCCAGCACTTTAGCCGCTACTGTTGCCAGTGATATCGGCCTATAATTGGATCCATCGGAGGCATCTCCTGTCCTATTTTTCGCTATGGGCACAACAATTGTTTTCATCAGGCTGTCGGGAAGGTAGGCATGACTAATGCACAGGTTAAAAAGCATCTTTAGAACCCGGGGCAAGTGTGTCCCAGCATGTAGGAAATGCTCTATACTAAGACCGTCATGCCCCGGTGTCTTTCCTCTCGTCATGGACTTAATGGAACGTTCAACTTCCTTGAAAGAGAATCTGACCAGCCCAACAGCCGGACTATCACTAGCAGTGCCCACATCCTGCGTTGCCCCAAGCGGGCTCTCTAATTTAAACTGTTTTCGAAACATGTTCGCTATCTGAGTAGGCTCACAAAGACCACCAACGCTAGCTGGTACACTACTCTTGGGATTCTTTTTATTTGTGTGCTTCCAGAAGCTGCCAAAGTCTTTAGCATTATGGTGTGTGGTCCATTCATGTCCAATGTCCATTTTGATTTTATTTTCGTTATCTTGACACCACTTCAGCTTTTCCTTGAACAGTTTTTTAGAGGCACACATATTTACGTAAAGAGGCCCACCCACTGGCCTGCCGCACCAATGCCACTGTTGGAAACACATTTTCGCCCATGAATGAGCCTCCTTTACGTGTTTATTCCAACCAGCAATTTGTTTACGTTTACACTTCCTGATATTACAACTAATGACTTACCTAGCCTTATGGAGGGTATAAAACATGAGATAGTATTGTTTGCTGATGATACTTCCTTATTATTTAAAGTTAAAAGGCACCAATGTTCCTACGACGATGTGAACAATGCTATATCTAAAGTAGTTGATTGGTTTGCTGTTAATAACCCACTTCTTAATGAGAGAAAAACAAATTGTGTGAAATTTACATTACCCAATGTTAGAGAGACGGTTACAAACATTGTAGTTAAAAACGAAAAATTGAATCTTGTGGATACAGTTATATTTCTAGGTATAACGTTTAAACGATGCTAAATTGTAATGGGGTTCCCATATAAGTAAGTTATCAAAACGGCTCGGCTCTGCAGTGTACGTGATTAAAAAAAATAAGGAAACTTTCAGGCGTCGAAACCGCTAGATCGGTTTACTTCAACTACTTTCACAGTCTAATGACATACGGCATTTTGCTTTGGGGTAATGCCGCCGATATCAATAGAATCTTTGTCCTGCAGAAACGTGCAGTTAGGGCAATTTACAATCTGGGCCCCAAAGTATCTTTGAGAGATAAGTTTAAGGAAATTAACATTCTTACACTAGCCTCACAGTACATTTATGAAAATGTAATTTATGTTAAAAAAGAATAGTAATTTCTTTATGAAAAATAGTGACAGACATAACATTAATACGAGGAACAGAAATAAACTAGCTTTTCTTGATAGTCGTCTTCACAAAGTCAAAAAATCACTGAATGGGCAATGTATACGCTTCTATAACAAGATTCCGGTTGATATACAAAATTTTCACGAGGTTTAAAACTATAGTGAAACAAAAACTTTATAGTAGCAAATAAAAAGAAATATTGTGAATGTTATTTACAAATAGCAACCCCTAGAGTTTCTTGCTCATTCTTCTCAGGGGAATCTGCCTTATGAATGAGCGGTAGAGTTTAACCATTGTGACGATTTCAACTGCAATAATGCTTACCTATGAAATAAAGATTATTTTGAATTTGAATTTGAATTTGGGTGGTGCCAAAGAGCAACGACTACCGGTGGTAGGGTTCGGCCGTGCCTGGTAACCACCCTCCCGACCAGTGGCGGATTTACAGTCTTGGCCGCCCTAGACCTCAGGCCATGTAGCCAGTACCTACCAGCCGCCCCTTTCTCAGCACTCATCATATACTGGTAAACGACATAATGAATTTACTTTACTGCCAACTTTTATCGAAATCGATTCAGAAATTCAATATTTTTCTAAACAATCGATTTGATTTATCTCTGTTAGGTTCGGGGCGCACGTCAGTAAAGCGCTAAGCCGGCATGATTTTTTCCGACATCTTCAACATTTATTTTATATTATTTATTTAAGGTTATATTTAGGCCAACTTACACAAAACCTAAATAAATTATACACTTAATCTAATTCAATCATTCTGTCTAATGGTGAACTCTATATCTATGGTGAAAACCGTCAGGTCAGTAGTTTTTGAGTTTATCGCGATCAGACAGACAGACGCGGTAGAGTGCGGGCGGGAAGTGGGGATTGTGACGTTGAGCCACTACCGTGCGCCCGCCGCGCTGCTCTCATCTATCACTCACGCGATAATATAGGTTTCGATGGAATAAATCCCTATAGAAATATAGGGATTTATTTAAGGCATAAAAAACCGTGAGAAACCCTGTGAACATGTTTGACTTTTGTCTCCACTGAAATCTGCCGCCCCTAGGACGCTGCCGCCCCTAGGCCGCGGCCTATACGGCCTTTTTATAAATCCAGGACTGCTCCCGACGCAGTCGAGTCGCCAAATGGTTTATCCGTGTTCCGGCTCGTGTTCGGGAGTTGCCATTAGAAGGTCGGGTCTGAACAGTTGCGTTGCGTCTAACGACGAGTAGTAGCTGCTTGTACTGCCACACTGAGCACTCGGTTCTGGAGGCTAGCGGGATCCGCGGTCTCCAACGCCTTGAAACCGATAAACCGCAACCGCTCTTCCTCACCGCCTCACCTGCCGGAGTCCGTGTGTACGTTCGTGATGACATCTGTGTCAAGCGTCTCAAGAACCTTGAGGCACTGAATTTTGTGGCTTCTGTGGCTTTTGTGTGGTTGACACAGGAGTTACCCAAATAGTATACTGCTGTGTCTACCGCTCAGGAGACAACCCAGCTGTTCCAACAACTGAGCGAGACGTCTGATGAGGCTCAGCTCAGGTATCCAGTGGCGCAACTAATCATTCTGGGGGACTTTAATGCACACCATCAAGAATGGTTGTTCCCATAACAGATGACCGATTATGCTGGGAGTGAGACGTG